AAACAAAGTAATCCTGTAAGCATTGCAATGGTGATTCTTTTATATCATCATAGTACTTCCAGTCTGAAATATAATTTAAATTCAAAATGTTCTTTATAACCCTAGCAGCATTAAATAACTTTGGGTTTGTATTTCATTTGAAATTATGTGATTTGATTATGTTTGTGCCCATCTTTCTTAAAAATATGAAGAGAATACTCCAGTAAATGGAACCTAATTTGTTCCAATATTTGCATAAAAAGTTATTGGGCTTTTGTGATAATCACTTCTAAATAATTTATTAAATCACGTGCATAATATTGTGATTAATCGCAAAAATTAATGAGATTAATCAAGATTTTAAAAATGAATAACAGCCCAGCAATAAGAACAAAATATATTACATTTTTTGTGCTAAAATTACACAGTCTTGTAATCCCAACTAATCCCCTTACCAGCTTTTCAAACTACAAGTATTAAAAGTCATATTCAAACCCCATTACCAGCAGAAAGACGGTTAATCTCATGAGCAAAATAAACCAGCAGTATTTATATGAACTCAGTGGCTTCTATTAGAAAGAGTTTTTGAATGTCTGACAAAAAACTAAGTAGCAGTTATATTGTTACGTGAACTGGGTTTTTAACTTAATATTTTAATACAACTGTGAGTGACATGAAAGTTACATAAATTGTTTAAATTCCATAGGTCTTGATGGGAGGTCAATATGTGCATAATTTGATTCATCCATCATCAAGAAGAATAATTTTGAAGTGCTCTTCAGGGTAGGTTGACAATTAATTTTTTGATAATGGTCATATTCGATTTTATCCCTCTTTTTTTATTTCACACAGGGCTTCAACTGGTTTGATTATGTAGGACTGTAGCATCTGTTTCACATATGTGGCATGTGTTCCATAGTTGCCATGATGCTTGTCCATAATTATAAGGTGCCCCACTGCTAAAAAGGTCTGGACTGAACACATGCAAAAGCCAATGAATGAATAAATAGCCCCAAGTGGGCGAATGTGAGACAGCCTAAACTGAGAAAGGACTAACAGGAAGACATCTGCTAATGGCCACTTCCTGATTCAGATGAAGTTCTTTAAAAAAAAAAAGAAAAAATATGTTTTGAGTATTTTAGTGGAGTTATAACGTTGAAAATCAAAAATAACTTGTCAAGGATTGAGTGTTGTCATTGGCAGTCGCCGATCCCACAAATCCCACGGCCAACTGAAAGCTTTAAAAGATTGGCTGTGAGTGCCAAATCCCGTTTGCTTCCTTAAAAAAGGATTTCTGAACAGAACAGACTGCACGCTCAAAATAAGGAGCACGGTGACCCACATAGCCTCCTTTCTTCAGCTGAATTTAGATCCTATAGATAAGGAACAGTTGTGAGATAACAGCCATTTCTGCATGAAGGTTTTTATATTTATCTTCAGAAGATTGTATATTGCAGCAAGTAGGGTGAGAGGGTTTCCATCCTTTAATTTAATAAAAGAATAATTAGCCTCCTTAGTTCTTCATGAGACATCCACAGATCAGAACAGAAGGGGAAGAGGGTGGAGGTCTGTTACTGCAAGATAGCAAGTTGGAGTCTCCAGGGAAAACTTGCAGCACACAGATTTAAAGAGCACATGCTTACTGCAAAGCTCCATTTACTATTTTTCTTTTGTGTTTTAAAACTGAGAGATATTTGCATGAATAAGTAAATTAAGCAAATGTGAAGAGGTTTAATGCGCGACTTTTGTTTCAACAGATCGAAACAGATTTTGTTTCAACGAAAGGCAGAACTGCATATGTACACGACAAGTCCATGACTGTCCCATTGAGTCAACCAGCTGCAACACTTACTGATGGTTTGATGGTCAATACTGAAGCTGCAGATGATACCTGCCTGGCTCCGTCCCAGGGTGAAGCCATACCCTCTGACAACGATATCGAAGGACTCTGGAACGTCAAAAAATAAAGATATGACTGGGAGAGAGCCTTGTTCAGGTGGTTTCCTCCTGTACATGTAAAAAGTCTGAGTTGGAAAGAAAGGAGTCTAAGAGTTCTCTGCTGTGGAATCTTCCGCTGCAAACTCAGCTGACTCCCAACTGCTTCAAACCGAGATGTGTTTGCTATTTCCTTTGTAAAGTTTTAGAACATAACTAAGCAAGAGTATAAAAAAGGATTTTTTCTGTTAATATAAATGTCAGTGCACGGGACCAAGGGGATTATCTTACCATTGACGCAGACACTGGAGGGTTCCACTGTTAGGATCTCTGTGCATGATCTCTTCAGTATCTGCATGGGGCAAAAGGTTGAAATGGGGTACATTACTGTTTCACCGCCAAGAATAAATACATCAACTCTTAGCAGTTATCATTTCAGTCAGATTTAGAAAAACAGATTAGGGTGTGACACCTGAGAAATGTCTTGCTACTGATCAGGGCCTCGGATGCTGAATATCAGCAGTGAGGAGAACAGGAGGTAAAACAGCAGCTGTGTCAGCCTTTATGGGAAAATTATGCAAGACTATTACTGTTCCTCAGTTCTATTAAAAACCTCTGGGATCTTGCATTATCATATAAAGAGGCCCATGTGAGCCCACTGTCATGGAGCCACACTTCCCACTACAATTCATTTAATCAACAAAGAAGAAACTATGCAAATCCCAGCTCAGTCAGTAAAAGGGAGCATATTAACACCAATAGAGGACACTTGAACCTTTCATTCGATGTAGAACGAAACTTCAATCTGAAAAGTGGAAGACGGTTGTTTACATCAGCCTTATCTGCCTTATGAGAGATGAAGGTTTGATATGGAATTGTAAAGTGGAAAGAGGGTTGTATGACAGCTGGGAGGAAATGGATCCACTGCTGTTCCCCTGTAACACTATTTTCCTGTCTAATTTCAACTCTATAATATCCATTTTCTACTTCCTTGGCAGTAATCTAAGAAGCTTAACTGAATATAATAGCAGGACCAAGAAGACCCGAGGAGTGAGATTGTTTGCCCAATAAGCATGGAGGCAGCAATATTTATCAAAGAAAAGCTTCCTACTTTGGATGTTTTAAGTATCTACAAATAAAATATGAGTGTTTGGGAGATATTTCTAAATAAGTTGCAAATGTTAAGATTGAAGCTCTCTACTTTTCATTTCTCTGGGATCTTGTGACAAACATTATTTACAGGCTGTATTGAAAAAAACAGAGGCAGACTCCCAAAGTCATCCACTTATCTCCGCCAGAGCTGAGCCAGTTGGTCTTTCTAAGAGGCTGATAGTAACAAAACGGAAATAATCAAGTGGAACATTTCTCGAGGGCATTGGAATTCTGTTGTGCAAAAGCTTAAAGTGCACACCACTATAAAGCTACTAAGCACAGCTTGTTGCGTTCAGCAGTTTAAGGATGTGAGCGATAACAATGTGGCACTGAATTTTATGATTTTCCAAAAAAGGCCTGCAGCTCAGATGACAAAGGGTGAATGCTGTACACAAAAATAAATAAATAAATAAAAGGATATTGTGTCTAGAAACCCAGCATAGCTCAGCTTTTCTTTTTTGTAAGTTTTGTCATTCTGATCATTGACACAAGAGAAGCCTGCAGTAAAAAGCGGCACAGATGATTTGAAATCCTCACAATCCAACAACAAAGTGATGGGGCCAACTAGTGAGGGATTCAGTATTACTAATCAGAGAGGAATGCTCCTCTTTTCATTTGGATGCTGAAAGCGTTACAGTGCTCAACGCCTGTCTGATGGGACTGGACGGAGGGGATGAGCTTTTTCACGGGTTACTGGATGTTTCCATAAACAGTTGAGGAAACCACTGAGATAAATAGAAACAAATATCTATCTCGTTGGAGTTTATCTAGATGTCACTAATAAAAAGAACTCTGCCACAGCCTATAGTCATCCTATCAGTTACATCAAAAGCTGCTCTGAAATATTCCCTAGAAATAAAACATCCAAAATGTTTCAAAGTACAGGTTTTATTATGATGAAATGGTTAATATAATATTTGTTGTAGTCAATCAAATATGTTGCAGCCAAAATATAATCTTAAGATCACTTAAACTCGGTTTGGAACTTCTGTGAATACATGCAGTGATCATAAAACTGACTGGCTTTGTCACACATACATTCCCTGTTATACCAAAAAATTAAATATGCATTTGGCATTCATAATTTCTTTTGTATGTTTTTTTCTGAAAAAAGAGTTTACTTATTTATACAACAGCATGTTAATGGAACACAATTTTTAGCGTCTGTGTCATACTGCAGAATCGAGTCACACCCCTTGGCTTTGAGTCCTTACAGCTGCATGTATGACAGCTCAATGTTACTATGCTCTTTCTAAACACTGCCGGCCTTGTCGGCTGTGACACAGATGTAAATCCAGCTCAGGTCAGTGCTCTGCATGGCTGCCCTGCAAACCCCCGCCTTGGCTGATTGCATTCAACCCCTAAAAGCTGCAGCAAATGGAAAGTAACACTAATTGGCTGGCAGAGGATGAGGGGGCTTCATGGGAAACTGTGTGCTAACGCGTCTGAGAAACTACCACTCTGTGACAGTTTTTCACTGCTGACATTTAAAATCTAAGTGGATGTGTTTTTAGTAGTCTGCTGGATTTCATTACGCTGTTTTTGCGTGTAGAATAAAAGAATTTGCTAATGACACACTGCTGCTCTCTGAATTTTGATGTCCAACACAAAAAAAACGGAAATTGGACAATGATGATTCAGAAAACTTTTTCAAAGTGTAATTTGCACCACAGGACAAAGACATTTCTTACTCTATCTGCTAAATGAGGACAGAATGAGTAGTCGAATCCACCATGCAACTTAAACTTAACACTGGCAAATTACCTGCACCATTATAATCTTGAGAATTTCTAAAAAATAAACACATTTAAACTCTAATAGGTTACACTTTGCAGCCAAAGCATCTTGTTGCATCAGATCGAAATGTTTCTTAACAGATTATTACAGAAAATCAAACACGGACCAACTGGGAAAGAGAGAAAGAGAAGGCAAACTTACAGAATCAACAATGCCTTTGAGAGCGTGGAAGCCATCTTTTACAGGAAACACATGGTCTTTGGTGTCCGCAATTTCAGCAAGCTGTTGGTATCACAAAAGAGAGGAGTAAACAAGGAGTGCTGCTGATTTAACATTGCTTTCTTCTTTATCTGTTTTCCTCTTTAAGAGTGAGCTCTGCCTTTCTGTTCACATCATGGGCAGGAGGAGATATAGCAGATGGCGTGACTGCAGCAAACACTTTGCTCAACTATAAAAAAAAAAAAAGACTGTAGCACAAATCGACAGCAATATTGCCTTTGTTTTTGACTTGATAAGAGATTGTGGCAGGATTGCTACCAATGGTAACAGGGAAACTTTGTTTGAATAAATACATAGCTCACTTGGGTTCAGCTCTGATGAATGGACAGCACTTAAAGATAAGATTGAAAACGTATGTGAAATTTCAAAATGTTAAGATAAGAGATAGATAAGAGCTTTATTGATCTCACAGTGGAGAAATTCACTGGTCACATATCGGTTAGGGTACAAAAGGAGGAAAAGGTGCATAAAGTACATCAAAAGCAAGCAAATATACAAGAAAGAAACACAGCGTAGAGATTTGGGTGATTAAAATATATACAATCATTGAGGGCTCACACACAGTACACATATTATACAGGTCAATAAATATAACACAATTGCACAGCAGTTGTTAAAGTGCAGAGTTGTACAGTCTGGTAGCAGCAGGAATAAAAGACCTGCGGTATCGCTCTTTTTTGCACACAGGGTGTCTGAGTCTTTTATTAAAGGAGCTGCTCAGCTCCTCTACAGTCCGATGCAGGGGGTGAGAGGTGTTGTCCATAATAGATCTTAGTTTGGACAACACTCTCCTCTCAGCCACTTCCTCCACTGAGTCCAGAGGGCAGCCCAGGACAGAAGTGGCCTTCCTCACCAGCTTATTCAGCCTCTTCCTGTCCCGCTCTGTGCTGCCAGGGGCCCAGCAGACGACAGCGTAGAGGAGGGCTGAGGCCACTACAGAGTCGTAAAAGCTCTGAAGGAGGGGCCTGCTGACTCCAAAGGCCCTCAGCCTCCTCAGGAGGTGAAGGCGGCTCTGACCCTTTTTATACAGGGCGTCGGTGTTGTGAGTCCAGTCCAGTTTGTTGTTCACGTGAACACCCAGGTATTTGAAACTTTGTACAGTTTCTATGTCCAGCCCCTGGATGTTCACTGGGGGGTGGAGTGGTGGTCTTCTCCTAAAGTCGATCACCATCTCTTTGGTCTTATTGGTGTTCAGACACAGATGGTTTTTCGAACACCAATTTACAAAGTCCATGATGACCGACCGGTACTCTAGCTCGTTCCCCTCAGACACACAGCCCACAATCGCCGAGTCATCGGAGAACTTCTGGAGGTGACAGCTGTCCGTGTTGTAGGTGAAGTCTGAGGTGTAGATGGTAAACAGAAACGGAGACAGGACTGTGCCCTGGGGGGCCCCTGTACTGCAGAGTACCACCTCTGACTGGCAGCCATGCAGCCGCACGTGCTGAGGACGGTCAGTGAGGTAGTCAATGGTCCAGTCAACCAGTTGTTTGTCTACCCCAGCGTCCTCCAGCTTCCCCCTCAGCAGCACCGGTCTGATGGTGTTGAAAGCGCTTGAGAAGTCAAAGAACATGACTCTCACAGCGCTCCCGGTGGTCTCCAAGTGGGTGAGCGCTCGCTGCAGCAGGTAGATGATGGCATCCTCTACTCCGATGTTGGGCCGGTAGGCAAACTGCAGCGGGTCCAGGGTGGGGCTCACCACGGTGCGAAGGTGGGCGAGGACGAGGCGCTCCATGGTCTTCATCAGCTGAGAGGTCAGGGTGACAGGTCTGAAGTGGGCCGGTTCCCTGGCATGTGGCGTTTTGGGAACCGGTACCACACAGGAGGTCTTCCACAGGGTGGGGACCACCCCCAGGCTGAGGCTCAGGTTGTATATGTAACTGAGGACCTGACAGAGCTCATCTGCACAGGTCTTCAGCAGCCTTGGGGGGATGCCGTCTGGTCCTGAGGCTTTCCTCTGTTTCAGTTATCACACAGGCCGACTTCACAGCTTGTGAAAATTCTGCTTTCCATTTTGAAAAGGTCCACAGTACTCACAGTGAACTTTCCTTCACTTCATTTGCTAAGGTGCAGCTTAGTTGACTTAAATTAAAACCATGTTGTGCCTTTTTTTCCCATTTGCCACTTGTTCCTCCCACTGAACATTAAATTGTTCTCATATATTGAGCATGTATTCAACAGCGTGTGTGTGCTCTTTTTAAATCCTCTGTTACCAATCTAAAGTCTTGCTAAATGATTCCATGTCACAGTGCTAGTTCATAACAATTTAAAGCCACCTTGAACCAGTTTTTAGACTATGCCAATTTCTTCATATCTTGCATCAACGAAACTAACAAGTCTGATGTAGGGATGAATCCTGCCTAGAGCCTGGACCTGGGGCTTTGGAATGTCCTTGAACAAGTCTGGAAAACTAGTATTGAAGACTCATCAAAGTAGTTAGAAGGCTTGTCTGGAAGGATTCAGAGTTATAAAGGTACTCAGAGCTGGTAAGAACTTTTCAGATTCGTAATTTGTATTATATTGGAATACTGAATTTTCATTTATGTGTCCACAATTGTTTTTTTTTATTTGTTTACCTTTGTAAACTCTCCTCTAGCTTGCAAATTTGGTCGTACAAAATTTCTAATCACATAGCACACATTCAGTAACAGGCTTCTCTGGTGTTTGCAGATTAATATTAAAGCTTTCATACCTGCTGCTCATCAAAGTCCTTGACACCCACACAGTAAACACGAGCGCCATATTTTCTTGCCTCATTAGCCTGCAGTTCAGATACATGATACATGGATGATGTGCAACAGGGTTAGGAAAAAGAGGGGGAACAAAAAATCAAGATGAGGATAAAGGAAACACCTTAAGAAAATGAACAGAGGAATAGTATGGCACTTGAACATATGTAATGTTTCTGGTTGTGTTTAAATTTGATTCAGACTTATGTTAGCAGATAGACTAAAAATCAAAACAAGTGATAGTAACATCTTTGTGGTAAACCCCCATGAGTGATGGGCTCAGAAAACGGTAAAGAGTAAACCTCACCTCATTCACGGTGAGTTCATGAACGTAAATTTCAAGCTTCCCATCTGTCAAAGCCAGGATGATGCTGGAGGACTGGGACGACTGTTGTCCTATCTGTTCTCGGGCCTTTGGTCATTAATTGAATAAAAAAATGTCATCACATGTCAGTGACTGGACACAGTAAAACTGGAGAAAGTTGAGATAAGGTGAGTAAACTGACCTTTTTGAGTCCCTCATGCATGTATGTTTCACCAGCAGGGATCACTTTTTTCAAGTGCTCCAGGCCTTCCTGGATCTTGTATCTTAAAATATGCATCATATAAAATGATTGGCATTATGCGGTGGTGAAATGTACTGGCATTTCTTCCATGTTTGATTAAACTTTTTATTTTCCCCTGCCAAGAAAATCATAGCCCTCAACTTATCATAACTTGGATGGATTCATTTAAAAATCCAGAGGATGTGCTGTATGCTTGCAGTAACAGCTACAGTGGAACATAACAAGATATAAACATTTTAAAGAGACAAATACTGTTGCATCAAAGAGGAAAGGGGAAGTTGGCTCATTCATCCTGATTGCATAAAGAGCTAAGAAAGACAGTGACTTCCATCTTTGTACAACTAACTTCAAATATGTTTTTCATTTAACTAAACATACAACAAAAAAAAGTCCTGAAAATGTATCAAAATTATTTCTGCGTTGCTGTTTACAAATAGATGTGCTAATATCTCCATCAACAGCTTATTGACTTTATTTTGCAGGTTACAAAAACACAAATTGTACATTTTTGTGAACCCTTTTTATTAATTCTGCACAACTATAACCCAAAATCACCACCAACAAGTTAAGGTAAATCAGTGGGAATTAATGTTTATTTTCAAACGGAAAATGTGTCCTTATTCAGAAAATCCTTAGCCAGTAACAGCTTTATAATAATAATAATAATAATAATAATAATAATAATAATACAGATTTGTTTACTATAAACCTTGTAAAATATTGTGTCTCTCTCTTTGGAACCACATTCGCAAAAAATAATTATTGGTTAATGCTAAATGCCTAAATTTGAGAGAAAATCTTGGGTGTGTGAGTAGAGTTCTATAAAACTACAGTAAAATACAGTTAAGGCCTTTGCAGGCCAAGTCCATATTTACGAGTAGACAAATAAAATACAGCTTAGTCTAGCTGTACGATCGTCAATCATAGATTATATCTGAATAATGCAATTCAATTTGCTCCACAAACAATCAAATACACAACTTTTCCGTTTCAAATAGAAATCAAACATGACCAACATTTAGTTTCAAAGTACTGAGCCTCCTATTTCAAACTGTTTGTCAAGATCTTGATAGCTGTCAGCACTTTATATAAAATACAGTGAATTCTCCTCAGAGATTACTGCTGAGTATGGTTGTGTTCAGAAACAGAGGTGTGAATTTGGGGTTCCTTACTTGTCTCCAGTCAGAGGCAATAGGACTCTGGCTTTGGATGAGAAGACGATGAATGAAACTCTCAATCGCGGGCTGCCAAGAAAAAAAGAAGAAATTCTTGAAATAAATAAATAAATCATTCACACCCGTGCTAATGTAAATTTAATTTATATGTCGACTTTAGACAATCACATTAAAGTCCCTACATTACTGTAAATAAGATTTTTTCTTCCCTTCCTCCAAAAAATCATTGCTTCCATCTGTCGTCTTCATCAGCCACCCTCAAAGCAAAACATGTGAGCTGCTTACAACATCCAGTGAGGAGTCAGTGTAAGTGACAGTTTTATCTAAAGCTTTATTAGGAGTTCTTTTCATCTGAAGAGAATTAGAGGTGAATACATAATTAAGCAAACAGAAGGAGCTCTTTTAATGTCAACTAATATTAGCATATGACTTAAAGGAGATTCGGCGGAACTGAAAAAATAAATAAATAAATAAAACGTGATGTGGTGGTAATGAGTCACACAAACATCCTGCTTGAAAAAACTTTATACATTTCTAAAAATATTATCCAGTATATAAGCTTGTACCTGTGACTTTTAGTGGGTGTCAGTTATATACTCTGACCACAGTGTCAGCTGCTCGTTCAGACTTCTCTGCACAATCCGAGCTGTTTATGTTCGACATCCCTCTGCTATATCAGAGAGCTCATAAGATGTTAACAGATTTCTTTCTTTACAAACACAGGTGGTTTCAGTGTAAATACCCGGCTTAAATTTGTGAAAACTATACAAACACAGACGAACGTAGAAAGTGCCTACCCGAGTCCAAAACGTGACGGAAAACTTCCCCGCCTTGTATTGTGGCTCCAGAGTTTGACGCTACATTGAAATGTGCAATACACTCTCTCTGTTTTTGAGTTGTTTTTAACTCAAATCCTCATTTTAATCCAAATTATTCTGTTTTCAAAATTATTTTGTTGAACTTCCTTGCAGCTGAGGGTTCTTTCATTCACACAATGGAGAATAAGTAATACTTGGAAATACATAAAAAGGTGAAATTGTACAAGGTCTCCAGGATAGAAACGATGAAGCAAAGTACCAAATTTACCAATACTTTGGTTGGGTACTTGCGTCAGTTTAAATCAGTGAATTCCTACTCCTGCCATGGACATAGAGTTTACACAGATGCCATCCAACTAAGCAAGTCAAACTTTAGATAATTAAGCACAAGTGTTTCCTTCAGAGGTGTGAAGCCTTCGGAGCATAAGGAGAGGTGCTGATATTTCTCACCCACATGACACATAGCCCAGTCGCGATCCACCTCCACAATCATAGCACAATCTTTAAACCAGACTTGGCAAAGAAGCGACAACAGCCGTATTCATCTATATCCTGTCTGCAAGTTTCACAGTCATCTGTGGACTAAAAAATAACCACGTGAAGTCACCAATGAAAATGGTGGGCGGCATCTCAATGTAAAACTTTAGGATTTTGACTTTATGTCAGACAATTGAACCGTTGAACCAACATTTTGTATTAGTAAGAAAAACTTGGGACGAATAGGCAATAATGTTAAAGCCAAAGACAAATAGGAGGGTGGTATATGGATTTTTTTTCCCCTTTCAAGTCAAGGGGGGGTGATGAAATAGTCCACAGTTTGCTCCACATGGAGGAACAGAAGTGCTCTTGGTGAGCGAGCATTGTTTAGCAGATTGTCCTTGTTGCCTTCCAGTGTTCTTTTGCTTTACTGTACATTGTCTCCCTGTCAGCCGTTCTGTGGTGGAAGCAGGGGAAAAGTGTGGAGCCGGACCCCCCCGGTGCAAATGGCCATTCTCACAGCCCAGAAGACTGCTCCTCTCTGCCACCCACTCCCACCTGGTGCCTTTGCTATTTTCTTCAACCAACCACTTCATTCTGGCTGGGTCGCTACCGTCTGTACTGTGCTGGCAAGCGCCGTTTGACTCAAACATTATGCAAGCTGAACGTTTCAGGCCCATATCTACGGCTTTGTCTCTTTATTAATTAAGGCCAAAAAGGATGGTGCGGACTGTGCAAACTGATTCTTTGAAAAACATGTGGGAAGTCTTTCAAATCTGATAATTATGACATAAAACTGAGCTGATGTCAAACAGATGTAACCTATGTTCCTTATTCCCAATTTTGTTTTTAAAAAAAATTCTGTCATCTGTTTGTCTTATTTAACTAATATCTTAAAATCAAAGTTTTGCTTTTATCAAAATTCTTAAACCGACTTTTTACTTCAACAAAAATATGATTAATGCATAAGTGATTTTATACTTGCCTGACAAATCTTTCAGTAAGGTTCTTCACAAAGGAGTGAATCTCACCCCAGTCAGTAGCAACGCTTCCAGATCTGAAACAAGAATACAACAGTCAGCTCACAGCCCATCAGTGCCAGCAGACTGTGTGCTGGGTGGTAAAATACTGTACAGTATTTGTGCTTTGTGCAACAACCACAGTTGGACATTAACACAAGCCACATGCTGGATAATTGTACTAATAAGTCTCTGTACTTGCAGCCACCTCAGCTGTTAAAAAATGTTCACAGATCTGTCTTTCTACAAATCTAGTTGGCTGTTTGAGTTTTCAGTCTCCTTGCCAAAACAAAGACAGAAAACTCATTGTGATGATCCATTTAATTTTACAAGAATTTGTAAGACATGGGTGGAGGTAATGAGGCGGCACCTCGGTTCTATTTGTTACACGGACAAAAGCTGCAGGAAGATGTGAAGGGACTCAGTCCGTATAAAAGGTAGCACAACTTTTATACCCATAATTTCCCAAAAAACTGTTCTGTCATCATGACAAAGCAGTATTTGGAGGGGGACAACTGATACCCTTGGCCCCCTCAGCCCCTCATAATGAATCTGTGCATGAACGTGGTGTGTAAAATGTGCCCTTGCTGCAACGACAAAGAGGTAATTAAACTAATAATTACAATTCCATGTATGTGCAGAGAACATAAAACAGAGGAGTTTGAACATTAGGAAATTTGCCATTAATGTCACCTCTTTCTCCTCCCCTCAGCCCAAAGACAAGGTCACACGGCTAAGGTGGATGAAAACCAAACGACAGTCTGACAAACTGGGCAGTGGGTGTATAATTAACAGCTGTTAACTGCGGCGAAACAGTAACAGCGGTCAAAGGTTTGAATGTTAAATCTATTCACTGCACCAGCAACTACTTATTGGAAAGATTTGGAGGTTTAAAGAGCCTGTGATTGACACTCCGACTGACAAATTAAATAATGATCATAAAAGCACTATTTAATTCACATTTAATGAATTGAATTAAATTCAAATACATTTCAGTTTTTAAAATGTACTTTTTGGTTAATAAAACTGACCATTATGTAGAATATTATACTTGGTATGGATTCTGCTATGAAAGCTGAGCCAAACAATTATACTTTTGTAAAAACTGAATTTTGCAGAAATCTTTTTGTGGCCTGGTGTGCAAGGTGAAAAATCACTTCCTGCCAGTCCTCAGGCCAGTGACCTGCACATCTGAGTGGGGTTGCGGGGCTTCTCAGCTTTCAAATGGGAATATTTGCAAAACCCTTCATGAGGATATGCTGTTAGCAATGTTTGTTTGTTCCTCCACAAAGATAATGGCCAAGACAGATGTTTCTGATTGCTCTCGTTGCTTGGAAAGATTGAGCAAAAACTGCAAAAGCCCAATTTTATGAAACTTGGTGAAGAGTTTATTGTCAGCGGAAGAAGTGATTATTTCAGGTTGATCTGAATCCTTCCGGGGTTTTTTTATCCTTTTTTTGTCAGCACAATTCTTCAATATGTTGACTGCATGATGATTTTTAACAGAGGAAAACACTTTTAAAAATATCCATTCTTTTAGTGCTCTATTGTGGATTTGCTGAAAGTAATTTCAGTAAACTTGTTCATCTTTTAATTCTATTTACAAGTGGGCAAAGGTAGTTTGACAAAGGCTCAGAGTAGGCGTCGTAAAAACAGTTGCTGTCAAGGCTGTGAACCTCCCATATTCCACTGAATGCAGCACAGCAACTGAATCTGGCTCCTAAGTCTATGTGCGTCTAATGTGTGAAGCTGCACTCCCGACTGCATGAAAGCAACAGGAAGTGGTGCAGAACAAAAATCTGTTCCAAATAAAGCTGCATGCATCATACATCATGCGCGCACACACACACAACATTCAAAGACTCAAGCCATTCATCCATCGTCTTTACCGCTGGAGACTATTCCAGTTTAAATTTGGACGAGAGGCAGGGTACACCCTGGACAGGTTACCACTCCACCACAGGGCCACAGAGAGACAAACAACCAAACACACTCATACTCACTCCGAGCAGCAATTTAGCCCAACATACATGTTTTTCAATGGGGGGAGGAATCAGGAATATCCACAGGCAACCCATACAGACATGTGGAGAACATGCAAACTCAACACAGAAAGGGCCCGGTTCCCCAGGAACTCAAACTGGGAACCCCCTTACCACTACCACATGCAATCCAAATGTATTTGCTAGAGTTGAACTCTGATACAGTCCAGGAAAAAAAAAAAGTACAAACCCCGACACCAACAACGCCCCGTCAACACAGCATGGTGAGGTGTGATTAACCTTTGTCACGTAGCACTACTTGAGTGTGAGGCCATGGTTGGGCTTTTGTGTTTTTTTCAGGTGTACGCATCGGACAAGAAAGTGTGGTTCTCACTCCCTGATATCACTGCAGAACGCTTTCAAAAGTACACTGCAGAGTTACAAAACTTTTGAAAGTTTTCTCTAACATGGGGCTAGGCCATATCACATCCTTACAGATAATACCGGTAAAAATAAATTGCCCGGGAAACTAAATGATATCATGATATACGTAAATAGTGTACGCACCACGCAGAGGATTACTTTTACCTTGGTCTAGCAGCAATATTCAAGTTGTAAAGGTGAATGCAAACATGGCTGAAGAATGAATTTGCACGAAAATTTGGTATTTTGGATACAAACGAGCAGATATTCCCTATAACAGGTCTGTTCTGAGACTGCTTCAGTGAATGCAAACGTACATGCACTGTTCTAGTCAAGCTGACTACTCAGAGCACTTTACACTACGTGTCATTCACCATTCACACACTGGTTGCACCAGTGGGCACACTAGATGCAACCAGTGGGCAACTTGGGGTTCAGAGCATTGCCCAAGGATTCTTCGACATGTGGCCTAGAGGAACATGGAGTTGAACCACTGATCCTCCAAAAAGTGGGCAACTGCTCTTTCCTCCTGAGCCTCCTGAGGGCTTGTATTCTTGAATAAGAATCTGAAAACTAAAAAAAGATTGTAAAAAGCTATATTCTGCTAATGATGAGCAATCCTTTCAGGCAGATTTTCATTTATTTTCAGCATTTGTGACAAGTTTTGGAAATTATACTTCATTTAAAGGCAGCATATTTCTTGTCACATTAATGCTTAAAGGCTCTTTAGCTTTCTGTTTATTTTTTATAAACTGCAATTAAGTTTTTGTGTTGGATTTGAAATAAATAACTATGATTTGTTCTTGCTTTTATTATTTTTTATATTGCAAAATGTATCGTTATCATCAAAATGTTCTGAAATATCATCAAAATTAGCCTTAACCCCCGCCCCCAATGACTTCAGCAACTAACTGAAAATTACCCAACCCTGACTGTCACACCCTAACACAACACGACAGTTAAGTAGGGCCATTTTTGAAATGACAAAAAAACCAGAAGGGGAAAAGATTTTTGAGAAGAGGAAGATGATTTCTTCTTGTCATCCACAATTGTTGAGAAATGAGGAAAACACGTTAACAAAGGCGCCATGTTTGACCGCTCAATACCACCCAAGTTGAACAGGGTGAATAAAGTATTTTAGTTGGACTGGTGTGTGAGATTGATGGTGAAAAACAACTTTTTATAGGATTTCGGCTAGTCTTTTGACGACATTGTTCCGCAAATTACGTTTTTTAGCAAGCATAGAGTAACTAAAAGTATGAGGATCTCTGACAGCTGCTACACTGAATATCAGTTTCTTGGAGCTCACAAAATACTGCAGCTACCAGCCCCAAAAAAATCTGACCAATCACACAATCATACAGTTCTCAGACACCTTGCAAGAAAAAAGTTCTGCCGGGTGATGTGTGGAGAACTCCAAAACTATGGAGCAAGAACAACTAGAGTATGTGGAGTACGTGATAGCCATAACTGGAAAATAGCAGGCCTAAAGCAGCAGATGAAGAGCATCTGGGAGAAAAATCCTTCAAAGACAAGAAAACAATTGAGCAAATGATTCGAGGGATGGACCTGGACCTTCATAACCATCTACAGTTTGCTAAGCCTAATCTTCTACTGCTTCTTTTAAAGACATAGGAACAGTCCTGACTTTGCCTCCACCTACAACTCAACAGGAGCCTCAGCCTTCACAACTTCACACTTCAACGCTCCCTCCTCCCTTCCCCTAGTAACATCTCTCTCCATCCAAAGAGGAGACGTCGACCAACTCATCAAGAGGCAGAAACCCGGCAAAGCAACTAGGCCAGACTCTCTCCATTGACCTCGAAGCACTGCACTTATCAGCTGTCTCCTGTGTTCCCAGACATCTTCACCTCACTGGACATTTGCTATGTGACAAGGCCTTCAACATCATTCCTGTTGCATGGAAGCCGAGGACCACTGGATTAAATTACTTCGGACCTGTTGCTCTGACCTTGTTGGTGATTAAGTCAAGTCCTTTTTGCGCTTCATACTGTCCCACCTAAAATCCATCACAGATCGCCTGTATTTTGCCTATTGAGCCAACACGTCTGTAGATACCGCTGTCAACATGGCCCAACACTTCATCTTCCAGCACCTGGACACTGCCAGATCCTATGTCACGATCCTCTTTGTGGACTGCAGCTCTGCATTCAATACTGTCATCCCAGCTCTGCCACAGGGGAAGCTCTCCCTACCAAAAGTGCTGCACTCAGCCGCATGTGGATCACAGACTTCCCGTCGGACCGGAAGCAGCATGTGCGGCTGGGGAAGCATATCTCTGACCCCTGAATCATCAGCACCAGATCCCCCCCAAGGCTGTGTCCTTTGTCTTCTGCTATTCTCTCTGTACAACAACAGCTGTACCTCCAGTCATCAGTCTGTCAGGTTCCTGAAGTTTGCAGATGACACCACCCTCATCAGGCTTATTTCTGAAGGAGACAAGAAGGAAGCTAGCCCATCTTGTGACCTGGTGCAGGCAGAAGAACTTGGAGCTCAACGCTCTAAAAACAGTGGAGATGATCATCAACTTCTGGAAGTACACAGCATCTCCCATCCCCATCACCGTGTAGGTGTAGGACTTCCAAGTCACCACAGTGGAATCCTTTCACTTCCTGGCCACCACCATCACCCAGGACTTGAAGTGGGAGTTGAATATCACTTTCTGGCCCAGCAACAGTTGTTATTCCTGAAGCAGCTGAAGAAGTTAAACCTGCTATCATATTGTGTTTTTCCATTAGTGCTTACTCACCCTACATAGTTCGGTCCGGGACGGCTCTACATGGTTTAGGTGGTTTTCTGTTACAAGTTACGGAAAAGCAGAGAGATGGGACTACCTGCGCGTGACATCACTCATCTGCGACACAAGCACGAGACAACAATCGAGGATTATTAAAATAGGCCCGGTTTACCAGGCGCAGTCACTGTATAGTGTGAATCCCTACCCAATCATCAACGAGCAGTCTGATGTTGACCATACTCTGCCGCGATGTAACCCCAACCGATTAGGTACTAAAGTTGTAACTGATTAATGGGGTAATTCCCCGGTGTGAATGCAAAAATACTGTGTAGAGCTTTGCTGAGCCGTGCGGGTCAGCACTTTTGGAAATGCGCCAATAGAGTCCATTCTCACATCCTCCACACCATCTGGTATGCTGCTGCCACCGCCAAGGACAAAGGCTGGCTGCTGCATATCATCCACTCTGCAGACAAGGTGATTGGCTGCCACCTACTATCCCTTAAGGACCTATATGGCTCCGGGACCATGAAGAAAGCAGGGAAGATTCTTGCTGACCCTCCCTCTCCGGACATGGACTCTTTCAGACTCTCCCCTCCAGCAGGACGTTTGCAATCCATTAGGACGTAAACCTGCTGCCACAAAGCTGTGTCTGTCCCTCTGCTTTTGAATTCATCAACACTTCCAGGGACCCCCACTGATTCAACAATGCCCTCTCCAATTACACATTAAGGTCATTATGCACTACACTAGCACTCTTCCATTTATTGTGTACTGCTCACTGTAATAATGTTCATTTGGACAAAAATGTTTACATCTGCAATAACATTCACAAACGTCTATGTCAAGAAGCCATTTATAAAGAAAGGAAGGTAAACAGAGGGTAAAGGCTGAGAGATACCAAATGACACCAAAAATAGACTGAAAATCTGTCTATAAGTTACCACTTATTCCCTAATGGCATTGCAGGGAGAACTGTGGTCAATGGGCAAGGTACACCCTGGACAGTCCATCACAGGGCCACACACAATGACAAATAACCACACACATTAACTCCTAAGGGCAATTCAGAATGTCCAATCAATCTAACATGCACGTTTTGGAAGCCAGAGAGCCCAGAAAGAGCACACGCAGACACAGGAACATGCAAACTCCACAAAGAAAGGTCCTGGTCCCCAGGCCATTCTGGGACTCGAATCCATAAGTTTCTTGGTGGCAATGGTGCTAACCACCACACTACCGTGCCGCCCTGAAGGGACAGATCCTCCTTAAAATTTGGACCTCAACTTTATTGAAGTTGTGTGGAATCATCTGACAGAGAACCTAACAATAGGCAGTGGACATCCAAAGAAGGGTTCAGAGAAATGGTGTACATGTTTCAGGTGGATACCTTATCAAAATATATGCAGAAACGTAATGTCATGAAACAACTTAAATGACAAATTTTAATGTGTGAAATATTAGCTAATAAAGTTTTTTTTTTTAAATACATTACTGTATAACGTGTATTCCAAAACAGTGTCACACGCGTGCCAGAGCGCGCGCTCCCCCCCCGCCCTTACTGCTTCATCACACCCTTAAAGGCAACTTCAACTTTTCTCTCCTAATGTGGCCGTTTTTAGCAAAACCCGACTCATTCAGCCACGTTAAACGTTGCTGTTAATTTCTTCTTCAATCTAACCATACTAATATCTGTCAATAAACTTGACTAACTTTCTTTTAATATATTTTACTTACTTGTCTAAAACAAAGTAAAGGTCGTAAGCTCCGTGGCAGGACGTTTGCTTTGCCCAGCTACACGATGCAAATAAACCCAGCAGGACCACAGCCACCGCCGCCAAATTCCATCGACTTTTTCCTTGAAGAAGTTTCTCCTCCGCGGTGAAATAGCATGACAACTTTTCCAACATTTTTGACACAGAAAAATGCCCGTATTAGCTAGGGGTTCGTTCAGAAGAAACTTGTATTCTTTCCCAGTGAAGTGAAGACTGTTGCATGCGACGTAAGCTACACATCCAGAGGCAGTTGAAGCAACATGTCAAAATTCCTCCCAGACAATGAAGTTTACTTATTCAACTGCAACATAAAGGAAACCACCGCTTCGACGTCAGCAGCTGCACTTTCTACATCTTCCTGACTCACTGTTAAATCATATCCTCCGTAGAACTATAACCTGTTTGTTATCCATAAAATTATGACATGTTTGCTTGACTTGCCCTGACTTTGCTACGGCAATCATTCAAGCAGCCGCTACCATATTTCACTGTGCTTTTAGTATCCAGTCCGCGGAAAAGTTAGGTCATATTCAGGTACCTGTAGAAAGCTCGTAATTCTGTATATCACTAGTTCAATGTTTCGCCGTTTATAAATAAAAGGTTGCTTCAGATGCCAAATGAGTCACACACCTACTCAATCATTTTTATCTCATATCTATTAGATATATAAATGTAAATCTTTCGTTTGCGACACACGTCTTTACTTTTATCTCTATTCCATCACATCTCTCCTTCAAATATTGATGTAAGAAAATATTGTCGAAAAAGTATTCGACGACTTTATTTACATGTCCCACCTTAAAATTGAGCTGTATTTTCCACATAAAAGATGTACACAATTCCCATTATTCGCTGTTTTTAAATCACCACAAATTTGTTTACAAACTCAAACATTGTCTGTCAGTCATAATGACATTATGTGATCAACAGAAAACGGTTTAAAGTGTTTGTAACAGCATTTAGGAGTAATTGCATGACAACAAAACTCTTTCTGTTGTTTTAAAAACCGTGTTTGCCTTAGGTTCCAATATTCTTATAGTACTCGAAAGCGGCCTACACAGCCTGTAGTCCAGTGCGCATGCCCTCAGCGGAACCAGCTGCGAAACTTCTACCGAGTTTGAGTTCCCCGGAGCATATACTTAGCAATGTATTTGTCAATTTAGATGCAAAACTATATATGAATATTAGATATGTACATCCACAAAAGAGTAAATCTTTGAAAATCCGGGAACAACTTGTGGACACTGAAGAAAAGCTTAGTTTAGAGCTTGAAACCACAAACATGTGGTTTAAGTTAAACTAAGCTGTTAATGTTTGGCAAGCATACAATTAAACATCCTGTTGTACAGTAGAGAACAGTTAACACGGGGAATTTTTAAAATGATTAAATTGTTTTTACTTCCTTTTCCTCGCCATTTTTATGCCGTGCTTAATCCTCAACTGGAAAATTATCAGAGTCCTAAATACAGAAGAACACATCCCACCCCCTCTCTCATAGTGTCACAACTTCCTGAAACTCTTAGGAAATCCAAGTTAAGGCTATTTATTTATTTATTTGGTCTCGTAGAACAACTGATATCCTTTCAGCTCGTGGTGTCCGTGAAACACTTTATTTCAAACTTCAGGAACACGTGGCAAACCAAGCAAGCATCCAATGCTATTTCCAATTCAGAGAGAACTGTCATTTTAAGGAGAACACAAAAGTCGGTTGGCTTAATGAGGACAGGAAAAGGATGCAGATGTGAGGTCTGTGATGTGTTAAAACAAAGATGCTACTTAAATGAAGACAGATTGTTTTGTAAGGTTTTTGGTGTGCTTTTCTCATTTTTGACTTTGATTAGTCTTTCAGTATTCACATTTCAAACAAGATGACGATCCTCAGAAAATCTGTAGACAAACTTCGATCTGAGTGGCTGTTAAATTTTCTAAGATTTACATTAGTGATCATTGTAAGAAACAAACATAACAAATGTGATTATCAGAGGAGCATTTCGAATGTTATGTTAAACATCAAGTCACAGTGTAAAACTACAGGTGCCTCCATTTACAGTTTGAACTGTACTATGTGTTTTGAATTGCCAAACCTGGACAGGTTAGTGCATTGCTCTCCACAGCAATCTACAATGGAAGTGCAGCCCTTAAATTTGCGCTGTATGCATGCAACAAAAGCCAAGCTCCACCCACAGAGCTTCACCGCACTATCTAATGAAATGCAATATGAACATGTGGCAAAGTACCATTCCAAAACCACAAGTGTTCAAATGAAAACTGAGACAGATAATGCAAATGTTTTCACAGTTGTATCTATTGACTTTATTGGGAAAGTGGATTTCATTTCATAACTTCTGTTTGTCTGACTAACGTTCCCTCAGGTTACATTAAACATGGGTATTTCAATAGGTGGTAATTTTTTCCAAGACACACAGGAAATTCCAGGTTTTGTCTCATGCCCCTTGTTTGAACAAGCATGGATAACTATGGATGTGTCTCCAGGCAATGTAATCAGGGGAAACTATAATACTACATCTGTTCTTGATGAATACCTGGTTTACCTGTATCTAATGCTACAAATGTTCCCATAATGCAAATGTATTTCTTCACCTTATCCTTCTGTTGATCTATACATTATACCTGCTTAAAATAATTTAATTTGCTGAAAGCTGGAGACTATCCCAGCTGCCACTGATAGGCAGAAATGGTACAGCCTGGACATGTCTACCTGTCCATCACAGGACCATACCACACAGAAACAAAAACAAAATAGCCACAGGTTCGCACACTTACTCACTCTTACATTCTTTAGGCTAAATTTGAAATCACAAACTGACAAATCAGTAGAAACACATCTGTCATATCTTTAATCAGTGACACAATCATAATCATTCATAACTTGACATGTGTCATAAGACATCTTATTGTTTATTTCAGCATTCTCAAAAGCACATTTAAAGTAAAAAACTATGAAAATAGTTTATATGGAAACAGTAACTGATCCAAACTGCGAATAATTCTGGTGTGAGTAATCCATACTGAATTATTTTTTCCACCTGTACCCTGTACCTCAAGCTTTTTGTGGTAAGGATTTACTTGGTGTGATCAAAGTCAAACCCAAGACAACTGGTAATTTAAAAATCAAATTTAACGGTAATTTCTTTAGCAACATCAAGCCTAAAGTCATTATGACCAACAGATGGTCAAGAAAAGACTGTAGGAATGTGATGTGAGGACCTTTTATTGAAAAAATTTACTACCATGAGTTTAGTTTTGCTTTTTAAGTATTTATGTGCCAGGTATTAGTAGCTTTGGTTTTTACAGCATCAATTCTTTTCATTTTGATTACCCTCATGTAAGGATTTGATGTATTTCAACATGATGTGTTAATGTATGCCAAATGCTTTACTATTGTCCATAAAGATCGTAAAGAAAGTGAAAAAAGTGGTTCTCTACAAAAAACAAAACAATGATGTCCACATCTGCCTCTGGCAGCACTTGTTGTTTAAACCCTGGTCGCTTAGTATTCTTTTTTTGTTGTGTTTTCACTTGATTAAGTATAAGAACCAATTATTCACAGCACAGCTTCAACTAAAACTGGGATTACACAAATAGCTAAATCTATTTTCTATTATTTTGCCTCCCTGTGAAAACTCTGCTGTCACACAACTCCATATCAGCGAGGTAATTACCATAACACACCTCATCAAATCTAAATAGTCCAGAGAATAGCAACACACGAGTATAATTATCTGGCAAATCAAAGTCTAATTAGATTTTAATTAGAATGTTAATTCCTTTTCACACCATTTGGTTTCAGTATATGCTAGCTAGCATGGTCAATCCTGAGCTCCACAAAACAAAGAGAACAAAAAAATAAAAAGAAAGACAACAAGCATGTATTTCTCATTATTTGGCTAATTTAGGTGTATATTAGAATCCAGTGACTTGAAAAATAGTTGCAGCGCATCAATTTGTCATGAGGCTTTAAGGCCTGAAGAGAAATCAAAAGTGACAGTTAAAACAACAACCCTGATTTATGAAAGCAGCGGGGTGTGGAAGGTAATCAAGAAATACAGTCACAGCAAACAAAGCAAAAGTAAAAGAACAAGCAAATATTTCTTAAAGCTGAAAAATGAATCTGTCAGCCTCTTCAATGACAGACTTTCCCTGGATGAAACTCAGTTAAAGAACACCTTCTGGGACAACATGGGATAAAAAAATTTAAGGAGCTTCATGAAAGTTTTGAAACAGGGCCATGGTTTTGACTAAAAACAGACAATCTGTCTTTGGCTCTCTTCAATAGATGCACAATTTCTCATGTGAGAAAACATTTTAACGTTTAACAAAAAAAGGTTTTTAAAGAAAGCATTAATTCTAGCTTTTTAAAGATCATATTAACACAAAACCCTCAGACTGTTTGTTACCCTTTTTGTGACCCAATATTCCTTTTTCAAGAATTTAATGATAGTTTGGTGCTGACTGAAGGAAGTCAAAAGATTTGATATTGTCTGTGTGAAACCACCATGTGGCAAAATGTCTTTATAGATGTCACTGAGGCCGTGCTGGTGGTGGTAAGAAAGAAAATTACTGAACTAAATCTCTTTTCTTTTTGTGTCACGAAGGTGCCCTGGTGGAGGGGTTTTCGTATCGTCTTTTGCTAGTCTCGTCATTTCCTGTTTTATTTTGAAGAATAACCCTCATCTCGTTTCAGGTCACTTGCACTTCCTGTTGTGTCACCAGTCTGAGCGTCTCCCTGATTACCTATTGTCTGCACCTGGGCATCCCTTCCCTCTCGTGTTCAAATAGTCCTCGTCTCCCCTTGTCCCGTGCCAGTGTGTTTCGTTCCAAGTCACAGAGCCAGTCTTGTCCTTGTTCTCGTCACAGTCATAGCCCTTGTTCCTTGCCTTCTGAGCCCCTTAGTTTTTGCCTCTGCCACGAGTGCGTCATTTTTCCTCCTAGAAGTAACATTCCTAGTGAGTATTTCTGTTGCTACTTTTGTTTCCTGTCCAGCCTCCTTAGTGAGAGATTTACGTTGTTACTTTTCAGCTTTGTTTTGTAACTTTTTCCCAGCCTCGGTTCGAGTGCTTTTTCTGTTGATACTTTGTCCTCCGTTACGGAGCGCTTTGTGTTTGTGTTTTGCC